TTATCCAGCGGATATTGGCAATTTGGTCTCTCGTTCCTCTCCCTTTTCTAAACCCAGCTTGAACATCTGGCAGCTCTTGCTCCATGTATTGCTGGAGTCTTCCTTGCAGGATCGTGAGCATTACCTTACTGGCATGAGAAATAAGGGCCACTGTACGGAAGTTTGAGCAGTCTTTCGCATTTCCCTTTTTTGGTATGGGGATATAAGTTGATTTTTTCCAGTCTGATGGCCATTCTTGTGTTTTCCATATTTGCTGGCAAATGGCATGCATCACCTTGACAGCATCATCTTTTAAGATTTTAAACAGTTCAGCTGGGATCCCGTCGTCTCCTGCTGCCTTGTTGTTAGCAATGCTTCTTAAGGCCCATTCAACCTCACTCCTCAGGATGTCTGGTTCTAATTCATTCACCACACCGTGAAAACTATCCTCAATATTATTATCCTTCCTATACAGATCTTCTGTATAGTCTCGCCACCTTCTCTTGATCTCTTCAGCTTCTGTTAGGTCCCTGCCATCTTTGTTTCTTATCATACCAATTTGTTTCTTATCATACATGATAAGAATTTGTTTCTTATCATACATGAGTCTACACTGACCATATACTGATGTTCCAAACTGCATTATATGGCAGTGTATAGATCATGGAATAATGTATACAAAATTCATGTAAAAATGAAATATTTTCAAATGTGAGACAGGACAAAAATATTATTTACTGTCTAAACACATTAAAACCAAGCTAGGTAGCAGCACATGTTGCAAGTCAAAGGCAATCCATGGAAGAAGCAGCCCAGAAGGAGATAAGAAACTTGGAAATAGGGTGAAATCATATTGGAGACTTTAAAAGTGTAAACTTTCTTACGAAAGGAGTTAGCACTTTCCATCTGAACCATCTGAAGGCATATTTGGTTGTGCATTCAGTTGCTCCATATTCATTTGTGCACTCAGATACATTTATATTAATGCCCACTGCATTGCCATTTGACCAAGCATTCAGCAGCACAATCAATGTGCATATTCCCAAATGGCGATATACGTAGCAATTGAAATATAAGATCTTGGATTATATCTCTACCTACAGACACATCTACACTGTAGAATAAATGCAGTTTGACTCCATTTTAACAGGACTCAGTGCTATGGAATTTGGGGAGTTGTAGTTGGGGAGAGAAGGCTAAAGACCTTGGAAAATGACAGTACCCGGGATTCTATAGCATTGAACCCTGGCAGCAGAAGTGGTGTCAAACTGCATTTGTTCTACAGTGTAGATGCACAACGTACCTATGGAAATGTCTGGGTTTATAGAATTAAGAACATAATAAATGAGTGAGCCAGCATGGAAGACTGGGAGATGCTCTGACTTCTCAGGAAACCATTAAAGGATCAGCCTCCTCTGCAAACGAAATACAAAATGGGTGTTTCCCAAAGGTTCTCAGACACTCTTTTAGATAACACTGGAAGCATCATCACCATGTTTTAGCTTACGTGGGCCATTAACAAGACTTGAACATAATCAATTTATTGTGCATTTTCTATTCTTTAAAAGACCAATTCTAGGCTTAAATTGGCCAGCTACCTCTCTGAGGTGAAGATGATAATGATGGTGATGATGACGACAACAACAAGAACAACAAGAACAAGAACAACAACTTTATTTTGTACCCTGCCTCCATCTCCCTGAAGGGACTTGAGTTGGCTTACATATGGCACAAAATGCCTCCAGCCACCCCATCCATCTCCAAGAGGAGATTTTGGAATATTGTGTCCAATTCTGGGCACCACAATTGCAGAGAGATATTGACAA